TCGGTGGCGTTGCAATTTGTCAACTTATATTTCCTGGATTTCCCTTTTCTGTCTGTTTCTGGTTAGGGTGGGCCACAAAGGAAACTTTACGTGGGATTTGCAGAAGTGAAGCAGGAGGCATTTTTGTAGCTCACATTTGATTTACATCATATTTTGTAGCTCACATATGATTCACATTGTTGCGTCTCTGCTAGCTCACCTCTCTGGCATGAGGCAGCAGCTGGGCCTGTAACTGCTCCACCTTCTGCTGGATTCACCGTTCAGCTTTCTGACCAGAGTTGAGTGTGTGTTTAACTCTGCAACGAAGGACCTTGGCTTCTGTAGGACATCCACACCATCAGAGTTAGAGGCAACAAGAGCGAACTTGGGTTTCAGGTTGTCCTCATGAACTGTGGCTTGTGCTTCTGTGTTCCAGCTTGTCACATATTTCCTCCCTTACCCCTTCCTGACTGCTTTGTGGAATTCAAGCTCCAGCATCAATTAACCACTTTCCACAATTGTGTAGGGTCAAACCTCTGTAACAAATTCCTTTATATTATAACTCTCTATTTACCTTCATTCTAGAGTTTTCGATTCTCTAATTCAACCCTGATACACATTAGGATAGTGACAATATAAAATGAAAAGCAGCCCGGCCGAGGCAGCTCAGTGGTTGAGCACTCACCTATGAACCAGGAGGTCACAGTTTGATTCCCAGTCTGGGCTTATGCCCAGGTTGCAGGCTTGATCTCTGATCGTGCAGGAGGCAGCTGATCAATAATTCTCTTTCATCATTGATGTTTCTATCTCTCTCTCCCTCTCCCTTCCTCTCTGAAATAAAAAAAGATATTTTAAAAAAATGAAAAGCAGATTGAGAAACTACACAATGGAAAACATAGACTACCTTTCTTGGAAAAGGATGAATCAGAGGGCAGACCCAAGATCCATGGAGAAGTTATTCCAGGTGGGAGTAGACTTGTTCTAACAAGAACTTGCTACATTTTCCTGATTGAATTTCATAATTGCTATGAACCAGTGATCTCTATATACTTCTTAGTGTCCCCACCCTTTTAGAACAGGAATGTATAGAGTGGTTATCCCATGCCTGTCCCACCATGTATGGTATGTGAGGGAGCAGACAACTTATCTTTTTACTTCCTAGGTCTTCAGATCAAGATAACTGTACTCAAGCAGCTATATTTAAGAAACATCATCCACATCTGGACTCAATTTAAATGAGAGTTTGGACTTTGAGCTGATGAGACTTTGTAATAGGATAAGACTTCCTTGGTGGCTTTGAGAGGAGATGGCTTTATTTTTCACTGGGAGAGATGTGAATCACTGCAGACAAGAGAGCTGATTCTTACCTCTTAGTACACATAATCTGTGTAGTCCCTTCCCTCTATATAATTAGTGACCAATGGAATATGGAAGCAGTAAAGTTATGCTAATTCTGATATTAAGCCATGAAGTCATTGCAGCTTCTGTCTTGGTTGTCCTATCTCTTGGATCATTCCCACTGGAGGAAGCCAGTTGTCATGTTAAGAACACGCTTAGGCAGCCCTGTGGAGAAGTTCATGTGATGAGGAACTGTGGCCTTTTGCCAACAGCCGAAGAGGAATGGAGGACTTCAGCCAACAATCTTGTGGGTGAGCTTTCTTTAAAGCTGATCCTCTAGCTATGGTCAAGTCTTCAGATGACTGCAGTCCAGTCTACAGCTTGACTGTAACCTCATGGGAGACTCTGAGCTAGACCCATCCTGCTCATGAATTCCTAACCATCAGAAACTGTGAGATATTTACTGTTTTCTTTAAGCTAAGTTTTGTTATGCAGCAACAGATAACTAATACAATACCTAAGTATTTCGTCCATATGTCTATGACAGCCAAACGAGAGGCAGAGGAAAGTAAATTGTGTTTTAGCTCACTGTTTTTCTACAATGCTCATTAAGATTCTTTTAAACCTGGGCCTGTGGGAAAATACTTATTTAGCTAAGCTAAATTTGAAACAAGGCCCAGCCCACGTGGCTCAGTGGTTGAGCATTGGCCTATGAACCAGGAGGTCATGTTTAGATTCTCGGTCAGTCACATGCCCATGTTGTGGGCTCAATCCCCAGTAGGGGGCATGCAGGAGGCAGCCGATTGGTGATTCTCTCTCATCATTGATGTTTCTCTCTCTCTTTCTCCCTCTCCCTTCCTTTCTGAAATCAATAAAAAATATATTTTTAAAAAGAGATGTAAGTAAGGGGGGTTAGCTTTAGTTATAGGAAGATATACAGTCATGTGCTACGTAAGGATGTTTTGGTCAACAATGGAATATATAGACAGGAGTATATCATATATCCTAGGTGTGTAGTTGGCTATAACATCTAGGTTTGTGTAAGTATACTCTATGATGTTTGCACAAAGATGAAATTGCCTAACAACTCATTTCTCAGAATGTATCCCCTCTTAAATGTCGCATGACATATATATAAATTATATTTATATATATAAAATTAAATTATATTTTTTTATTCTTTGAACTGGAGGATTTATTTACTTTTGAGAAGATAGATCATGAGATTCCCCCCCCCGCCCAAGAGTCTAGTCTCTCCTTTGCAGAATGGTGGGGCAGCTGCTACTTCTCTTGGGTTGAGATTTAAAGTTTCATTTATTATTCATTTTTATCTAATATGACTAGTTTAAGAAATGTAAAGTATGATTTGATTTCCTTCCTAGATTTTGTTATGGAAACAAGAGAAATAAGAATATATTTTTCCTAGCCTCTGTTTATTTCTCTTTCTGTCTTATAATCAATTTCAGTAACTTTAACAATAAACAGTAAAAATGATAGAGTATACAAGCCTTGCCCAAGTGAATCCATCATGAAGCTGTGTCTGAGAATGGTTTCCTAAACAGGGGAAATGTGTTTCATACAAAAAGTCCATTTTCTGTTATTGCCTTTTTTTTATTTGGACTACTAGATGCTATATATTTTAAGGCCATCTTAATAGTTTCCTGTCTCTCAGTAACAAGAATGACTTGTCATAATGAGCAGTGTAGACACTGTCCATTTGATATACTCCCGAAAGCTGTCTATTTGATACAAGAGTAAATCACCTCAATTCCTTTGTGGAATGAGTTGAGTATAAATAAATGAATGAGACACGAGAATAAAAAAATTCTGGCCAGGTCTATCAGAAGAAAATAAAAGGTAGGAACATTTGGAGGCCTAGTTTAATATTTAAAAAAAGTGACAAGACAAAGAATTATATGTCATAACGGTAAAGGGAGGAAGAATCCTCACTAATGCAAAATGCCCATGAAATAGTTTCTTCCTTCTTTAGAAAGAAAGATAATTTTGTAGTTTAAGAATAATAATTCTTTGAAGTTGGAGGACCAATGTTGTAAAATGATTCTATACTCACCTTTACCCCCACTGAAAAGAATTAGAATTTTCAGCACTCTTTCTATAATTCATCACATGTCTAAATCTAGGTAGGAATTTCAGTTTTCATTTTAGGAAATGGGTTTGTTTTGGGGGTGTCTTTTTGTTGTTATGTTGTATGTTTTACTTCAGTTTTCAATTTTTGTTTTTTGTTTTATTTTGAGAAGACTCCAAAATCTTCTAATTTTTCCTTTTACAATTAGTGTGTGGTGTACCTCTTAGAGAATTATACAAAAATGCCATTGCATTTGACTATTTAATTTTTTTACTGTTACTGATTTTGGTATGAAATATTAATAGTGCTATTATTCTATGTCAGGTTTAGGGTTCCAGTTGGGGATGAAAGTTATGACAAACTTTGTGCCCTCTGATTCTCAAAATCAAACCTCAGGATGTTTAGCATTAGAACCCCTGGAAGGCTTGTTTAAAAATGCAAATAATCAGGTCCTACTCTAAACGGTCTGAATCAGAATCCCTGAGTGGACTTCAGAATCCGCATTGTAATAGGTTCTTTCTGTGGTTCTAATGCAAACTAAAGTTTAAGGGCCAATGATCTAGTCAGGAGGGTAGAGGAATAAACAATTTACATTGTGCTTGGAGCCCAATACTATCTTCAAAATACAATAGTAACATCTAGGAAAGAGCTTCTCCATGGCAGTTCCTATCGGAAGAAATATAAATATGTATGTATTTTATACAAACACACACAAACACACACACACACACACACAACTCTCTCTCTCTCTCTCTCTCTCTCTCTCTCTCTCTCTCAAAGCATCAGAACGTGTCTTTTGGGATTTTAGAGAAAACCCGAGAGAAGATTTAGATAGAAGACACTCAATAAGTGTTTGTTGACTAAAGGATCAGGTTGGAGTGAACATATTTTATAATTCTACTCTTCTAATCACTAGCAATTTGATGCTTATAGATGGACAGTGGTATCCATCCATCCATGTATATATGTATGTATGTATGTATGTATCTATCTATATCTATCTATCTATCTATCTACTTATGTATGAAGTCAAAAGGATAATGACTAGAACTCCCCACTCTTCGTTCTTGTGGGGGAAATCACCCAAGAATTCTAATTAGGCAGAAAATAACCGAAGGGCCAATCAGATCGCTCTCCGGACTGGCTTCTCCGGGAGGACTGGCGGAAGCGGGAACATTGTTGCCTTCACGCAATCGGACAAAGAAGGCCACAATAGCTCAGGGCGGTGGAAAATTCCTTATGGGTTACCAGGCCAGGTGTCAAACCTCGGTGGTGCAGATCGTTGGCCAGGTCTCTCAATCGGAAGACTTGGATGCATCATGGATACGGTGTTTTCCGAGATGTCCAGGAAATGGTCAGCGGGTCTGGGGGTACCAGTCACAAAAATGGCGGCCAGAGCTTCAGGCGCAGGTCAGGTGACACAGCCCCGCGCTCCCTTCCCACCAGCGGCCCCGCCTCCCGCTCGCTGACGTAAGGGGGGCGTGTCTGCCCGGAGGCTCTGTCCGGAGGTTAGGAAAACCCAGGGACACGCATGCGCAGTGGGGCACTTAAGGCACGGGTCTCCGCGCCGCCCATCGGCGGGCGGGGCAGGGCCGAGAGTCCAGTGCCGAGGGCCGGCTTCAGTGACTTCCTTGTTGGGATCCCCGGCCCGGCAGTGTCCGGAACCGTAGCCCCGCTGTGCTCACCGGACTGCTAGCCAGGGCTAGGTCGCAGCCGCAACCCAAGCAGATCCTTCCCCCGCACGCCCCGCGCTCCCCGACATGCCCAACCCCAGCAGTACCTCCTCTCCCTGTCCCCTCCCCGAGGAGATTAGGAACCTGTTGGCAGGTAAAGAGCGGGAAGGGGGCGGGTAACGCTGCGGGGCGGGGGCGCAGGGACGGCGAGCCGATGGGGACAGAAGCGTTCACTCCGTACCCCGCTTCCCCGCGGTCCCGTGTCTCCTGGCCAGTGGGACGGGTCAGAGTGGGAGTGAGCGTGTGCTGAATGTGGGCGCTAGGATGATGGGGAAGCCCTCATGGATGGCATGTACTCTTCTGTGTGCATCGTGTGTGCGTGTGTGTGTGTGTGTGTGTGTGTGTGTGTGTGAACTGGCAAGGGATCAGTAATGGAAGTAGTTCTTCGGCCAGTGGAGGAGAAGGGTGTAAAGAAGCAAAGTGATGTCTGAGCTACCGATGTCAGGGGTTATGGGATGAAAGGGTTTGTCATTTCTAAAACTCCCGCGTTTCCTTGAACATTCAGTCCACTCGTTGAAGACTTTCAGAAAGGGCCTGATTCTCAAATGGCCACTTGTCTGCAGCTTGAGTAACCTAATGAAAGGGAAGGATGTGTTCAAGTCCAACTTCCTGTGTCACATGAATGTACTTCATCTTTGCACCCTCATCTTCCCCTTTTCAGCCTTACCATTTATAGGAACTTACTTTAGGAGTTAAAGATGCAGTTCTTCAGGGCTATATATATGCTAGGTATGTAGCTGTGTATTGTAGCTAAGGGCCAATGAAAAATTTATATTTCTGCATCAGGTAGAAAATATATTAGGATAACACAAATGTTACCTTTCTTAATGCTCTGGAATTCTTACCATTACTCACTTTGTCATTCATGCATGAGAATTCTGGAAACTGAATTTTGATAGTTTTACTTTAGTTGTCTCTTAAGTATTTATCTTTCAATATTGGTCATGAATATTCTGTATTTAATGAGTTTCTCTTAGATGCCTATATTACAAGCTGGTTATTTTAACTTGTAAAAAGCAATATCTAAAATGTGACATTTCAAATAGTAAGTTACAGTTATAGTGTGAAACCAAATCTAATACTCTGCTATATTGTTTTAGAGGTTAGCATCATGAATATGACAGGGAAAATAAAATCAATATGTATGAATGCAGACTTAGTTTGTGTGAACATGATTACAGTGTGATGAACGCATTTGTGGTGGGCTAGTATTCTACTCTAAGAATTGCTTGTTGTCAGTAATGGGTACCACTAAGGGAAATATTGAAAGAACTGAAAAGACAGCTTTTATTCCATTATATTAGAGTTTCACATGAGTACTATTTTGTTTTACTACAGTTAACATTTTTTGTGATTATAATGCTGGAATTGCTCAGAGTATTATTATTTAGAGTATTATTTTAATAATCAGATCAGAGTAGTATTTATCATTACTCCAAAAATAGATGTTACCATTTTCAGGATGTTCCAGGTCTAGAACTGAATTTCCCTTCTCTTTCATGAAGATATGGATTTTTAATTTAAGAAATAAAGTACAGACCTTTGGGTGCCTGCTTTTAAAGCTTGACAGCCCCCCACAGTAGACAGTTTGCTCTTTTGATCTATAATCATACATTTGCATGATATGTACTTTATGAGACCCTTTATTCTCTGATGCCCATATATTAAAAGTGTTTCATGTGGCCCTTATTTGAGTAATTTAACTGAAAGCTTAGAATTACATAATATTTAAATTATCTACCAATGCTAACTTTCTGTAACTTTAGCCATCTCTTTCTTTAGTCAGGTAATATACTTGCATCATGTCTGAAATCAGCATTTGAAAAGTTATCTTATTGACATTTTCAATATTTCATGTTATTGAAGCAAATTACATATTAAAACACACGAAATGTTAAAACATTACAATTTTGGAGATGATAAATTTGCCTTACACTTTATTTTCAGAAGACATTTTCAAGGTGTATGGCTCTGAGAAAACAATGTATCTTAAAGAAATAAGTGAACCAGTGTTTTTTTAGTTTTCTTTTTTAACTTATTCAAAGAAAGCTAACATTTTATATTTGACTGTAATTACAATCTTTTTTGAGGTAGGGAAGTAAGTTTTCAAGAATAAATGATCTCAGTTTTTTTTCCCCCACGTTTTTCATCCAAAACAAATCTTTTGGAATTATACATGATGACTTGTATTATTAAATAGAAAAATTACTAAAACTATAGAAGAATTGGTATTGGCTTGAAATTTATAGATATTACTGGCTTACCTAGTTCTTTCTTTGAAACTAAGAACAGAGGTATTGGGGGTTGTGGTTAACAATCGAGAGCTCTTGGGGTGCATGGCATTGTGCTAGAATTCCAAGGTAGAGAAGAAAATCACCTGAACTTTTCAGGCGTTTTAAATCCCTTGCCCTCAGAAAAAAGAATATAAAGTCAAAAGATAATGCCTTTCAAGATAAGAATGGACATTTTCCTTTGTATTCCATGTGTCTTATTCAAGTCATGATATGTCATGTGTTTTAAATGTTTGACATTTCAACTGCTTGATAGAGGTAGGGGCTCAAATGTAGTCTTACCATTTATTATTTTCTTTCTTGTTATTTTTCTTTCTGATTATAAAACTTTTAGGCTCTCCTCCTAACCCCCTTCTCGTTCCTTCCCACTTAAAACAACAAAAACATTCTATAGAAATGCAAAAACCCATAGAGGCTATCATTCTTAACTGGCATTTAATGGTACTCTGGGAAAAGTGGCTGTATAATTTGTTACTTATTTATATTTCTACGGAATCAGTATTTAAATCTTGAAAGCCTGTACTTTTTTATAAAAGTGTTTGAGCTCTTCATTGTTTTATGAATGGAAAAGTGTTTACAGATTTCTGTTGTTAAAAGCAAATTTTGAACTGCCATATACAGGCAATCGTTAACATTTTTCCTTTTAAAATTACGTTACAGTTTTAAAAATTAAATTTATTGGGGTGACATTGGTTAATAACATTATATAGGTTTCAAGTGTACATTTCTATGACACATGATCTGTATATTGCATTGTGTGTAATTTTTTTTCACAACAGTGGAAGAACAGGTTTAGCCTGGATAATTAGAATCAAAGGATAACCCCAAATCTTGTCCATTTAATCTTCTCCTACATCCAAATATTTTGACTAGGACTAACAGCAAGAATAATCTTGATTTATGTGAGTTGTTCCTCCAGGCAGCCAGGAAAGTGAGAGGAACTGGAACCACTGGCCCCCCAACCTCCTCCATATGTTTACTCACCCTTTGAATACTGGAGTGTTAGTATTTTGCAGTCAGATATTCTCATTCATGTGCTTGAGGACAACACATTGAAAAAGGAAAACTGTAAGAAGATGCTGGTGTCTTTTTATTAAATTAGAAAATGAGACCAACATTAAAAGAAGAATATAGTGGATATCAATGCTCTGAAAAATCAAAACCAGACCAAACAAACAATACACAAAGTGGCTATGTGGTTCCTGTAAAGTGACCTTGAGATTTTGCTCACCTGGCAGTCTTGCATTGAAATACTGCATTTCCCCCTATTGGGGATCTCTAAAACATTTTTTTTTAATTTTCACAAATTATAATCGATAATCCCTTTGGGGGCATTAGGTAAAGAATGCAATTTAACTGAAATGGAGGCAGATTTTTATTTTATTTATTTTTTACTGCTGAGAATAGTATGGTTTGATTTCCACCTTTCCAAAGTTCCATTTATAATTTGGTCAACATTTTGGTTTTATTTTTCCTATGAGAATTATTTATGGTGTATCTAGTGTCCCATAACTTTCTTCCGGGGCATTGGCTGAGTATGTAAAGGGAAGAGTGCCACCTACTGAGTCACCAATAGTCACCTATTTCTTTAGCACCTGGATTTTTCTTCAGAGCAAGAGCAAGCCAGTCCCATTTTGGCAGAGATAACTCATGAGCATAAAGTTGACATGAGAACATTTTATCTCAAAATGAAATCAGTCTATGACAACTCTTAAGATATTCTCTTCCAGAAATAAGAAAATGTGTGTGTAAGCCAAGGGGCCAGAAACTCTCAGTTTCTTCTATGAGTCAGATTAACAGATGACTTAAAATGTGAAAATTATTTACCTATCATAAGCATACGATGTCCTACTTTTCCCTGGGAGGGGATCTTTGGGGTTGGCTTGTTTTCCACAGGCTCTCCATGGGAAGTATTCTCATTTCAGATTACTAAATAAGGCTCTTGATAGCACACACAGTTTTTTTTATAGTTACTCAATCCAAATGATCACCGGTTTTCTGTTTAAAAAGTAGGGATTCTAAATATACTAAAAAAGGAGCAGTGTATAAAAATTTTCCAAATGAGTTTATCTCTACATTATCAGCACTAACGTCTTACTAGAAAGAAGATAGAAACAACAGAGTAGGAGAAGCCTCTGGTGATTTGAAACAGTTCAGTTGTCTCTCATAAATTTAAGATTAAGTGTCATATATGGGTGATAAAAGTGGCATAGGCTAGTTTTTATATACTCATTATTCACTTAGTTTGTCTTTTTCAATTAAAGCCAAGTCTATTTTTTTCATTCCACTGAGTTTACATTTCTTTTTCAATCACATACTGAACACACTATAATAGATGCTGCCTAACAGTGAATATAGTGTAAATCTCAGACTAATGTGTTATTCACTGTGGCTTCTTTGAAAAAAATGCGTGGTAAAAAGATTTTGATTATTATAAGGTGCTGTTTATCAAGAATCATCTTTTAGATGTGAAAGATGCTCATCTCTGTCCTTCAACAGCCTAGTTTTCTATCAAAATGAATTATTTAGCCTTCAAAACCAATTTTGAAAGTTTTATCAGATGATAGGATATAAGACTCAGGTATGTCTTCTATAAGAGCTCCTGTGCTTGTTCATGCCTCTTCTTCCATGTTAGAAAAGTCCACAGTGCAACCATCACCTGTAAAAGTGCGAGGCAATCAAGAGAAAGACATTGATTAAGGCAATCAATAACTTTTCAATTAACCATTTTCCAACTGTGGGCATTTGGCTCCATGATGTACATGTGCCCAGTTTAATTTTTATGTTTTCACCCTTAGGTGTGTGTGGCCAGCCATATCTCCTTTTAACAGAGAAGCAAAGCATGTCTTTTTGTTCCAATGCCAGCTTAAAGTTTGGCTGGGATCCTTACCACATTAAGTTTGGTGATAACACCTCAGTGAATACAAACGGAAACCTGGCCCTGTTCATAAAGTAGAGGAAGACGTGGAATTAAGTAGTAAAGCCATTTGGGGTGGAGTGTGGTTGGTTTTACACTTATTGATCTGGTGCTGAGCAAATGGTAGTTGATTCAGTTTAGTTCTTGCCTCCCTCTTCTATACAATTGAGACCATGCTGTGTGTGTGTGTGTGTGTGTGTGTGTGTGTCCACTCAGGGAGGTATTGGGTGGTTGGGGGACAGCTGAGGACACCAGGTGCTACCCTTGTGACTTGTTTACGACCTCCAGCCTGGAAGTCATATTCTGAGTTGTTTGCTGGTGGAGGATGGTAAAGGCAAGTGGTCAAACAACCGCTTTCTTCCAGAGTGGGAACCTGTGCTATGGAGTCAGCATCAGGAAGGCCACAGTTGATTTTATTGTTTGCAAGAATTTAAAGACTGTTCTAACCTCATGTGGTCTCACCTTTTCATTATGTATAGAAGTTGGTAGAAAGCAGTTAGCCTTTATGTGTGTGTGTGTGTTAGGTACCTGCCCTAGCCACTCAGGTGGCATTTTTTCTAAGGGAGGGGGGTACATATGTACAGAAAAAGAAAAGAGGACAGTTGGAGTACCATTTGGTGATCTGGTGTGTGCTAAGTGTTGGCCTCGTGGGGGTAGAGATGGCTTGTTGAAAGGTTTCTCAAGTTAAACTGCTGGAAGGTTGCTGAGCCAATATGTGATGTCATCTTTTAATTTTGTTTTCAGACCTTCACATTTATCTACAGAGCGATTGTAAACCTGATCTTATGGGGGCCCTCTCCCCCAGATCTTTACAGTCTTACTGGGAGATGTTTATTCTTGACAGCATGGAGGAGGAACCGGAGCAAAAAGCAGCACATTTACAGTCCAGTCCCTGGGATAACTTTTCCCTCGGTGATGACTTGAGGGCAAGACTGATGGAGATGGGGCTCATTCTGGGGCTGCCCGGGGGCGCTGATCTGCAGTGGACCGGGCCGCGGGCCCGGGGGGCGGGGGTAAGACCTGGTGCTCTGGGGGCCTCTGAGAACCGAGTGTCTCCTCCCCCGTGGCGAGTGCGCCCGTGAGGGGAGGCCTCCTTCCGAGGAGGAGGAAGGCTAGCTCCCCAGGCCCACAGGCAAGCCAGGAGGCAGGCTGACCTTTCCTGGCCATCGAATGATGGCTGTTCCCCGACCTCCAGGCGGCCTGGCGTCTGCGACCCGCCTGTTAACCGGGGACACGACCCCTGAAGGAAGGTGGAGGGGCTGCTGGCTCCCTGCGTCACTGTCACCGCGTGCAGGGCTATTCAGAGCCCAAGAAAAAGCTTCAGATCGCATTCCCCACCAGCCAGCCAGCGGAGCGCTGGGTTCGCCCAGGACTTCTGCTCGCTTTTGAAATATTCCCCCGGCCCCGAGCCACAAAGCCGCCGCAGATCCAGTCCCGTTCGCCTGGCGACGGTGCTGCCCGCAAACCCAGCGCTCCCTTCTCACCGCTCCCATGGCGGGGACCCCGGGGTTCAACACTCCGCGTCCACAGCCTCGGACCCAGAGCCCACCTCCTCCCGGGGCAGCCCAGGGGCTTCCCAGCGCCCGGTCGCCCGCCTCTCTGCCTGGGACCCGGCGCAGCCCCCGCGCGGCCGGAGCGTCTCCTGTGCCCGGAGGGGCTGGTTTCGTTGGATTCGAAACTAAGTGGGCACAGTGTGGGTTTTCAGAAAAACACCCAGATTTCAGAAACTTAAAAGCCTGGCCGAGTCAGTGGGCACCAACAAACTAAGATTATTGCAGCCATCGCTTCCACTTTGAAGCTCTTATTTGTTTAAAAAAAGAAGAAGAAAAACAGCAAAGCAATTTCTACATCTTCCTGGTCTCCTTTGAGAAGTAATTTTTTAAATTAATGTTTATTAAATCATTTTAGTTGCCGTAAGTTTAGGAATAAATACATGGAGACTACTCTAAAAATATAGATCTTTTTCCCTTGCCCAACCTCCGAACCTCCCCCACCCGGAAAACAAACCAACAACAACAACAACATAGCCGGTTCCGCAGCCTCACTCTCACAAGTCCTTCCTCATAAAATACCAGCAGGGATCCGGATTTTAAAACCATTTTTGGAGAATATTAGGAAACACTATGTAGAGCATCGCAGCTTTTGATGTTTTCTGGTTTTTATGGAGCTGAAATGACCTCTTACAGAAATAATTCCTGGGCTGTAATTCGTTCTGTTATTGCTTCCGGAGACGGAAAATAGATCCCGTTTGTTTAAACTTGGATTGCATAATGAAAATGTAAAGCAGGCAATTAAATACTCGGGGATGAGGGAATTAAAGACTCACACGGAGGGGGAAGCAACATGAAGCAGACTCTTCCCCGGCCATTGTGCCCGGGATTCTCGCAAGGGCCGAGTCGGGCTGGAAGGAAGAAGCGGTGGAGATGCTGCCCCTTCCCTGACTCCACTTTCTCGGCAGATTTATTGTGACCACCTCAGAGCAGCCAATGGGCTTCTCCATGTCAGCTGATGCTTGAAGGTCCAAAGTTTGTGCGCTCCTGTGGGTGCAAAATGTAAAGCGTGTGGAGGAGAGCACTTTTTAAAAATAGTGTTTTATTATTTTGAACTCCCCGTGGACGTCTGGGTCTGATTTGCACTGGTGCCGGGTCATGCCTCTGTGTCCTCTTCAAAAACATGGGCAGCTCCAACAAAGTGAGGCTGTGACACTTTGCTTTCAGTTTGTTTAGAGACTTGCTTTACACATGAATATCAGAAAGCGACTAGTATTTTTTAAAAAGTATATCGAGATTAAATTTTCATTCTTTCACTTGTCATGTTGATTTAGGGAAAAATTACCGTTACACATTTATTGCGAATGTAGAGAACAACAGCTTATCAACGTTGCTCATGGTCTCAAGATACTTTTGTAATCAAGAATTTAAAACCGATTACATTCTATCTCAAACACTAGGTCTTAAATTGTTAATTAGAAGTACAGTTGAAAGACTATTGTACTGCTTTGAGGTAATACATGTAACATTATTGTATGTCTTGATACTACCTTTTTATCAGTGTGAGTTAGGAGACAAAGTAGTTAAGTAAAGAGAAAGTAAAACATACATACTTTTCTTCGCTATGAAATATGGATGGTTTACAGCCATACCTACTTGAAAAATTTTTATGGTATCCTCTGTATTAGAGATCTCAAAATGGGATTTAAAATTCTGTATATAAAGTTAATTTAAAGTTGTACAATATTTCATGAACAATAAGAATGGAGCTATTATAAAATCATACCGGTGAGGATTTGTTGGAATTTTATACTAGAGAGAACTAGATAGCAGAATAATTTAGAAGTTTATTAATTTTTTAAAAAGAGGATATATGGAAATGTTATATGAGGCCATAGAAATTTTATCTCTAGGTTACTATATTTTTAAATAGTGGATGAATGTATTGTTGCTACTTATTCCTTTATTTAAAGAAATGTTTTCAGATAGTAATACCAAGGCAAGAAGCTAGAACACACAAAACCACACAATTGATTATCTTTTTTATTTGAGGGTGGCTGGCCAGAGTGGGTGGGGCAGGTAGGAAGGAGGAGGTTTGATTTGGGGAATCTTGGCTAGAAAAGGAGATTTATTTTTTCTTTTTAAAGCATTGAACACCTGAAAATAGATTACAATGGGAAAAACAGGCCTTGCCAGAGACATTAGCTTATACTGGCGTAATATTTTGAATGACCTAGTCATACAGGAACTCACAAAATACTATTAAATGGTAGTAACACATGGATAAAAGCTCTGTGCTTGCTTTTGTAGGAATTTGTCTTATGGACACTGTAGTTTATTAAAACTTGTGTGCTTCTTCCTGGTTTAATGATGCCAAACATCCAAACAGCATTTGCTGTGCTAAGCATAAGTAGAGCATACAAATTTTATTAGCTAAGTGGTGAACAAATTTGTCCAACTTACTATTTGAAACATACTTCAACTGTAATGCTTTGGATTGATAAATAACTATATCAGATTGTACAGATATTAACACTTATGGATAGAAACAATCATTGTCCTATTTGTCTTCACAAAAAATGATTCTTTCTTACAATTTGTATCCTGTTTCTTATATTTTATGTTTAGATGTTGAAGCATTTGTAACAGACATACTGAAAGGGGAAAATTTATCCAAGAAAGCAAAGGAAAAGAGAGAATCTCTTATTAAGAAGATAAAAGATGTAAAGTCTACGTAAGTCACTTACTTGCCTTTTATTATTAACTTTTTACTTAGAAGCAACTTTGTAATTAACGTTTTAATAAAGAATTTATTGTCATTGAATTAAAATTTTAATGTTACTTAGTTGCTGTTAAGTATTTATAAAGGACAATATATATTTTCACTATAATAGCTTTTAAAAACAGATCTCCTTATCATAATACCCTTTTTTGTGAAGGTTTGTGAATATGTATTTTTGTAAACATTCTAGCAAAATTCAACTGTTTACTTTGCTTAGGAGAGGATATATTTGTTTTAAATGATAAGAAATAGTTAGGTTGAGAATTTTAACATAAATATGGAAAATAACCACCAATACTGAAATGAATTAATATAAGTTGCAGGTATCAAAGGTATGTTCTGATTTTACTACTGTAACTTAGGTTTTTAAAAATACTTTTATTATAAATCCATAAATCTTTTGGAATTGTCATTTCAGGATAAGAGGCAGTTTTTTCCCCTCCAAATATATGTTTATAATATACATTTTAAAATAGCTTTGAATTATTGTCACTTATTAGATCTTGTTTTGATTTGTCAGTCCTCATTTTAAAATATAATGCTCTTGTTTTATTTTGCAGCTATCTTCAGGAATTTAAAGACAAAGGTAAATTTTCAAGTTTGTCAAACTTGACATTATTTTTCTTTGTGGATGATCTGACACATACTGAAATGTGATAGTTGGAATCAAAATTTAAATATCCGACTGTATACTTAGACTTTCAAGATGAGAGTGCTAGCTCCCCCTGCTGAGAAAAAAATTAAAAAGTATATCCAGAATCTACTCTGCACAAATCTGATGAAGAAATCCGTTAGTTCACATTCTTAGGTTTTATGTGTCTTAGAGTCCATTGTGACAGAAACTGGTTAAGAAAGGCCTGTGTTTGCAGTTGTTCATAGAATAATTATGTGAAGCAGAGATGAGATACCAACCCAACACCATGTAACACTGCAGAGATGATTTCATAGTAGTGATGGGAGCAGAGGCCCCAGGGCTGGGTAATTATAGATAATGTTTTAAGGATAATTGTTTTAAAAACAGGATCAATTTTTGTCAAGAACATAAGTAAAATATTTTTCAAATGCTGGTTTTTATTATCCTTTTGATATGAATAAATGTATGCCATAGAAATTTTCAAAGAAGAATTTCATTTTTTTGTTTTTTTTGAAATATGTCAGAGTGCTGGTAACCTGATGGTCTTCCTTTAGATTTGAGAAACAGCTGCTTAGCCCACTAAAAACCAAGTCAGGAGAGGCGAAGGAAGTCCCTACTTTTTCACATCTTTAATTCAGTAAGGCCCATACTTGCATGATGCTAATTCATAGGTCATGACCTGAGTCCTGTGAACGCTGGTATGAGGGTCACAACATGAGGTCAGTTAACCTATGCAGAGCTAGGATCTGTGTTTGGGCGAAAACAGTATGACATCTTCTAACTGGGGTTAGCAGATACCACAGAGTAATTCATATCTCTGCCAACTGATAAGTGAGAGAGTAGTGACAGTTTCAATAAACCAAGTACTTAGCCAGACAAGCCCAAAATCAAACAGTTAAAAGGAAACCACAGTACTTTTCACGTTAAATCATTAAGATTGTTGTGATTGGAGGGAATGAGATTTTTTTTCCATTTTAATTTTTTAACACTGTTAAAGAGAAGAGCAGGGACACTCCTCCTTCCCACAAATACCCACTTTTTGATAGTCTACAACAAACCCTAAACTATGGGTTTAATTAGGCTTCATTTTGCTTAGTCGAATGTAGAAATAATAACTTTATACATTGTAATTATGATAACTTTTATACAGTGTACTGATTATAGAGGAATATTAGATTTTGCCTTCTTAAAAGCACATTTTGTACTAGGGATTATTTGTCACTCTCTCATTGTGACTTACACATTTAGAAAATTTGAAGCTAAGAAAGCATGATAATATGAAATCATTGTCTGGTTGCATATTACTCAGTAATAGGGTAGGAACTTTCCCTTCGGTATTCTGGTTTAGGACTTGTTCAGGTGTGTGGATATTAAAATTACATTACTGAGATACATTCTTTTTCTCTAAAGAGAATGGAAGTTTATATAGTTTTCGATAGGAACTGAAAAATGAGCCTAGACTAAGAGTTCAAATAACACAGAATTCAGAGATTCCCCATAATCATTTCCCTCTGAATAAGTCATTTGTAGTTCAATACTGCTGTACTGAGTTAACTAATCACCAGGAGTGCCTGTTCAGAAGTGAGCCTGCGGATAAAGTAGATGTATACCTTGGAGAAATATGAGAAGCTGAGCAATTCTATGCCATCTCACCTCAAAGTACATTCAGCTTTGTTCTAACAGGACCATTCCTGTAGTTTGTTAGGACGGTAAACTGAAGTACACATTTAATAGTTGCAAAGTAATTATTCACAATACTTTCTTAAATTAAATAGGGATTTATTGATGATCAGATTCTACATTGAATTAATTCATGCATCCATGCATGTTTTGAAAGTGCTGCTTTTCTTTTTTCTCTTACATATTCCCCTTGGGGTTTTGGATTGTCTTCATCCAAGGTGACCTGGGCAGATTCCTTTCAGCTGTTTTCCTGTTCTTTCTCTTTCCCTCTCTCTCTTCTCTCAGGTCAATATGGGGTCACAATGAAGTGAACAGGGGCTGTTTTCCTCCTGGTTACCTTTGGACTTCTGTTTGTTTCACATACTTTATTGTTTTTTCAAATGACAGTTAATTACCATGTTAATATCATTATTGGGAGGAAAAAGGACCAGGTAGTGAGCTCTGAAGTAGAATGAATTAATCCAGGTTTATTCATTTCTATTAAGTGAGCTCTTCGTTTCTCCAAGGTATACAACGGTTTAATGCCCTTCCTGACTTCCCCTCGCATCTCCTCCCTACACTGTAGATGCTACCCCCCCCCCCCATCGTGAGACCGAACAGTACAGAATTGACCGTTTGCAGTATTTCAGTTCTTAAAACCATTTGAATTGATACATTAAGCTACATAGATCTCAGAGTAAAATTTGTTTTTAATTCTAATTTTTTGGATGAGAATAGTTTGTATTATAAGAAACTTGTCCATTAAGTTGTTTTTACTTGCTGTTTATATCCATTTCCATAGCAAGCTGTGGTCTTAACACTTCCCTTTTCATTTCTTTACTTTCTTAAGGTCCTCATTTTTATCTCTTCATATCCTGAAGTCTAGATTCTCCATTGAGGAGGTCTGACAAATTGTGACTTGAGAATAAATGATCAGTTGGTTTTCTAAATTCCTTAATTTTGCTTGTAAATGAGAAAGATTTGAATCTAAGCAATGAGGACACATCTTGCTTAGTCTAGTCCCTGTTACTCACTTGAAATATTGCCTCTTCTACCTAGAATAGAGTTCCTTCTTGTGTCCTTCAAATATTGTACATTACAGATTTATGGGCTAACCCTGGTTTCCTATTCTTAGTTGCCATATAGCCCAGTAGTATAAAGTATATCTGAATATACGCTTTATGTACTAGGAATATGTTCATTTTAGAATTATTGTAGACTAGAATTATGATTATTTTAGAATTTGTTCTGTGTCACATAACAAGGTCATAGGTCTCTTAAATGTAACTTGAAATAACTGAGTAAAGACTGTTATTGACTGAGTATAAAGTATAATTTTCTAATATATATTAGGTACGTGATAAAAAAAACTTTACTTATAGTTGTATCTTGCCCTTATATTAGTCTTGTTCTACTCCCGTGATGACTTAGGTGTAATTATTTTCTGTATAGAATGATTAAGGTAATGTGAAGATACCTATGCATGACACATAGCAGGTGTTCAGTAAATATTATATTCTCAGATTCCACTTCATTCATCAAGAGGATTTAAGTAAATCTTGATATATAATTCAGTTTTCAAATAGTTTTTGAGGAAATTATAAATTATTAAAAGAAGGGCGTGCATATTCACATGAGAAATACTTCAAGAGAAGATTTCTCATATTTGTAAGTTATTAGAGCTTTAGAAGACATGAATCTATTGTTTTCAGTTCCCTTAGCTATTCTCCTTTAAAATATTTCCCTCTAATTAAAAAAATTAATTTTGTCCATTGATATTGTTAAATATGTCTAGATTTACTTAGAAAGCAATTTTCATTGACCTCATTGGTATTAAGTTCATTAATGGACTAAACTGCTTTTTAAAATAGCAGGATTGGTAGGGAGGAAGGGACCCATTTTAGTTTGTTCTGATGGGATCCTTAAGAACAGCAGAAAAGTCAGAAGTTTGGGTGACATTTCATTTCTTTTCTTTTCCCTTTCCTGACTTCTGTTGAAAGTTAGCTCCCCAGTGAAATCTGAGCAGATGACTTGCAGCCCTCCCCCACGCCTGCATCTCCGGCTCCGTACAAATGTGTTAAGCATATTTGAGGTTGCGGACCTGTAGTAGAAGTATATGGCAGAGGCAGTGCTTGAGAAATGCTATTCTTATTCGAAAACTCTGCCTCACATTTGCACATTATAAATTAGCGCTCCTATGATAGAAGAGTTATGAAGAGAATCTTCTTATTTGTGGTGACCTAAATCTTTCCAAGATTTTAGAATTAAACTATAGATTCCCTTAAGAAATGACAAGTTAAATGTGTAGTTCGGTCTATTTAGCTGTATTTTATTACTTCTGAAATTAGTTTGGACAAATGAACTGAGTAGAGAATTAGAAATTAATTTGTTTTCACTCAAGTAATTCTCCGCTGCCCCCACATTTATCTTTCATGCTTTGTAAGTTTTAGGTATATTATCTAGTTTAAGGTTTACCTGATTGTGTTAAAAATAAGACTGTTTTTGACAAAATAAGCCGTACATTAGTTAAATCAACCTCAATGGTGGTAGAGATCATGACTGTTTAGTTACTACTGTTGGGCTTTATATCTAGGCATTTAGGGAAATGCTAATTGATGGTGAGCTGGATAAAACAGAAGGCATAATAGTGATTTGAACACAACTATTATACATTTAAAATGTTTTTCCGAGAAATATATTGCTATGGTATGATTAAGCCTTGGTTTTGCTGTGAAATCTTAGTTGCCACTGAATATGGGAAGGGAAGTCTCGGATCATTGTTTTTTAGACTGTTAACTTTGTATCATTAATTAAACTTTTGAAAGTTGTGGGATAAATCAAATGCTTTTCTAGGGAAACAAGAAACAGTATTAATGAGCAACAACCCCATAATTATCCTTGTGAGTACATAACAGGGACACATTCATGTCTTTTCTTTGTGCAATAACTTTTACAAAGAAGTATTTTTAAACTGATCATTAATTTTATGACCACTGAAATGAGATGCAAAATTTATGCTGTTGTCACTGGCACAGACTCAAGGCACCACTGACATTATGTGTGATTGTAATAGAATGGCTGCCAACTAATGATTCTGTAGACATTTCATTTGAGGATGCTTTTCTTTTAGATGTCTGATTAGTCTGTAATGCTTTCAATTATGTCTGTAAATTGTATTGGATACGTTTACCTGATGCCCTTCGTTACTTTGGAGTTCAGTTTTCTATTACATAAACTCAAGTTGAACATTTTCCTTTGCAGGTATAGCTGCAAATACTCAGCCCATGGGGGGAAAATACATTGCACTACTCAACAGCGACCCCTGTGTTCAATTAAAGCCCCTTATAATGCAGCAGTTCTTTATTGGGTTGAAAAAATAATTAGGGAGGGGGAAAAGGGATACATCATCACTGGAACAACAGTAAAATGAAGAAGACCATATTGAAAAATGATGTGGCCTTTCAACTTAATGCAGGTTAAAAGGGAATAACCCTGTATAGATACCACAGAAATCCTTATTCTTTACTTTCTGAGCTACTTCAAGGAAAACTTAAAATGGGGGGTGGGGGGGGTGGGAGCTGAGTCCAGTAACAACACTTAATTCACATTGTCTTAGATAAATATAAATATCACACTGATTAAAAAAAACATTTGAGATGAGCTGCAGAATGGGTAAGTTTAAGACAATTTCACATACACACACATTAATATATATAATCCAAAATTGTTTTTTAATAAAACAAAAACCAAAGGTTTTTTAATAAAACAAAAACCAAAAAGCAAAAGTCTTTAATATGCCATTGACCAATTTTGTGTGGAATATTCATAACTCATATTAAATATTATTGAATTTATAGCTTTAATAATGATCTTTATGTTGTGTGTGTGTGCATATTGTGTATGTATGTATACGTATGGACATACACAAAATATATGAGAGATTATTTAAGGATAAATTAATTCTGATTTTCTTTCTTTTAAATTGAATTTATTGGGATGATATTGGTTAATAAAATATATGGGTTCACATATACAACTCTATAATTCATCATCTGTATATTGTATTGTGTGTTTACCACCCAACTCAAGTCTCCTTCCATCATCATTTAGCCCCACTTTATAGTCTCCTACCTTCCCTCACCCCCCTGATTTTCAAAACTTTTTAAGTTTTATTTTTTCACCTTATTTTCACATAGAGATTAATAGACTTAAGCCCAAGCATATGAATACTTCTCAGAATCCTTTCCATATAGTCATTGATTTCAGCGTTGTATTTTTATATTTGTAATAGTGTAATATGCTGAGTGCAAGCTCTGGTGATGTATTTGAAGTATCCTAATTTTTTTCACAGCAAGATTTATTTTATAGTTAATTATATGAAATATCCTTTGAAAATTCATCTTATAAAAAATTCTTAGGGTACTCTAGCATTAAGAGCAATGGAAAATTTTGTGATCTTTACTACCACATATTCCATGAGCTGTCATTCCATGTTCACACATATTTTTACTAGCACTTTGCGAGGTTCTCTCTGACCTCATGTTTTAAATCAGAGCACTTTCTTTCCATAAGGAGAAATAGTGTAAGGGATCACTAATGTTCTGAAAAAAATACATTGAACATCTTGTAAGAAAGAGAAATTAAGATTTGAAGAATGAGTAGTATTTGTATGTGCTCCTTACAATTTTAACTGGGGAGGAAACATCACCATGCATGGTGCACCTAGTGGTGGAATCACTGAGGGCAGTAAGTAGTCTTCTCTATATTCTGCTCTTATTGTCTTGATTGGAGATCCTGTCTTTTCTTTCAGGATCAGGATGACAGATGCTGATGAAATATCAACATTATAAGGAAATAGAGATGAATATTGATTTTTTAAAGTTACTTTGATGGTTTGTCTTGAAAGAGGCTATGTTCCATACCAAAAATATGTTGACAAATAGAGTGCTACCTAACAAATGGATGTCAGAGGATACAGAGATCCATTGGAGCGACTGGTAGCTTTAGTCTGGATCTTTTCAGCAACCACGGTCTAAAAGTAATTCTGTAGGTGTTCTAGGGTTCCTAGGGAGATTTTCACCATGCTTTTTGGCTAATCCCTAAGGTAGCTGGTTTTCTCTTGAATTAACAGAGAACTAGAATTGGTAACAGATAATTGGTATAGTATTAAGTATATATTTTTCTTTGTTGTTGAATATGGGTACAAAATGAGTGCTTATATATAACTGGGCTAGCAAATATCTGAAATCTTCTTTTAAAAAAATCATTCTAATGAGTATGTGGGAAAAATCCAAACCACAAGATTTAATTGTGGGGATTAAATGGCTTCAAATTAGCCAACCAGCCAACCAGCAAACCAACCAACCTAGGATTTGGAAATCATGTAGAAAACTGGCTAGAACGTTTTACAGTAAATAAAAAATAATTGCATTTTCAAGAGCAGGAATCCTGTATGGGGAAAACTGCTTTAAAACACATATAACCCTTTTACGTTTAAACGAGGTTATTTACAGACCAGATACCTTCAATTTTCATTCAGTGATAGCTCACCATTTTAAATTTTAGCGTAACGTTATCCTGTGATTTTTAATGAAAACAAAAATGTTCATATGGCTTTGCATTATCAATTTTTCAAATATTGAGTAGGTAAATGGTAAGTTGAATAATTTCTGTGTGCTTTCTGTGTTTTGTTTTTGTCATCCTTGTTATCATTATTTTGGCTTCATCTGTTCATTTATTTTGGATACACACTCTGTTTTACCTGCTTCTACTTTTTTGTTCATCTTTGTAGAGACCATCATAATTTTAAAACTTGAATCCTTTTGTACCTGAAATAAACAGTTGTATACCGACCTTCAGAAACTCTTAACTTTACCTAAATTACAGTGGATCTACATTAAAATAGGACCTGTTCTTACAGTTCAAAAGTTTTCTTTGTTTTTTTCTTTATGACAGTGATTGAATTTAATAGGAAAATTTACCTCTTCTGACAAAGTAACATTTTTTAAGATGGCTAAATTATAAAAGGTTTTTCTCTGATTCTTTTACAGGTGATGCAGAAGATGGGGAAGAATATGATGATCCTTTCTCTGGGGCTCCAGACACTATTTCATTAGCCTCAGAAAGATACGATAAAGATGATGAAGCTCCCTCTGATGGTATGTGATATTTTCCCATGGAATATACCTCTTGACACTAACACCAAATAATGCAACGTGTCCAGGTGGTGGTCTTGTCAGAAAGCAGATAAATGCGCAGGCTTCAGTTAACTTATCTTTACCGGAACCTTTTAAGGAACAGAAGAGCTCTCTCTAGTGGTTTTCCTAAGTATGTGGTTCCTTCATTTCCTGGGAAATTTTCTTTACTGGAATCTTGAAAAGAGTGCTTGCATCATCATATGAATATTATTAGTAAGTTAGTTGGTTAATGTAATATTATAAGATTCTTGCTTAATTTTAGTATGCTGCTAATGGCTTGTTGTATTATTTATTTTATAAATAATGAAAAAGGTTTTTGATCTCTTTTCCCCCCTGAAAACTTCATACATAATTAGTTCATAAAATATTAAATTAATTATCCCTACATTGCCTTCTCACATTGAGACAGGTTTTCATCAAATGCTTCTTTTAATACACATCTTCATTTTTCTGATTGTCACCTAAAACTGCCCCACACTATGCGGTAATATTATAGTGCTTTGTATTAATTGGATTAGCAATAAAATTGAGTGTTTATCTCTTGGTAATTTTTTAAAACTTGTCAAAGTTATGCAACTTGTTTTTCGTGTAGTGTGTGCTTTCTCTGTTATAGCCAGTTGAGTGCATCTGTATTATAGAGATCTCATCAGGGTGATATGTAGTTATAAATTAAGAATGTGTATCGATAAATTAGCCATGCATATTAATTTGTGGCACTCAAAGTTTCGCAGAGGCATGGAAATGAGTAATGCCTTCTGCCACTATATGATGATCAAACTGTGCAGTTCCATCTCTAAATACAATTGCTGAATGAAAATATGCTTCCTGCAACAGAGCACTCCACATTTTATGGTATCCAGATTATTCCCTTTGGAAACATAAATTGCTTTTATGAGGTATAAAATTATGTCTATTGCAGAACAGGGATAAGTCAAGTACATGCATAAGTGATAAACATTCTAACCACTGATTCAGAACAACACAATCTTTTCTTTATATTCAGAACTTTGTACAATGTGTAGCAATAATAATCATATCCATTTTATGTTGAATTTTACATTTTGGTAAACATTTAATTTCTATTTTTAAAAGAAGGGATTTTTCTTCCCTTTTATTTTCTACCTGTCTTTTAAAAAGACGCTCCCTGCTCTTCGGTCACACTTGCTATCCGAAAGAGAGCATCACCCTTTCTAACCTGATCTTCAAAAGCATTTCTACTATATAATGTTTTATAATTGATAAAATAATACTTTCAGGCAAAATTATGAATTATTATTTGAGTTGAACTATTTTCCAGGCACATTACAATGATTCGTTTTGCTCCTCTGTAAAATATTGATAGAAATGAGTATGTGATGTATGTGTATGTATACATATACAGAAACAGGATATTTATACTCACGAGAATATATATATGTATATGTGTATATACATGCACATATGGAATACTCATAGAATATATACACTCAGGATTTCTCAAAACAGTATAAATATTTTGATGTACAAGGGGAACTTATATGCATTCTTAAAAATATTCTTAAAAACCTAAGAAATCCAGCAATTAAATATCTATGAGAGCCAGTGCTTTTGTTAGAAAAAGTGAATTATTATTAATTCCCTTATTATAGAGCATTTACATGATTATTGTTTTCTTTTTTATGAGTGAATAAGTTATTATGTTTATTTCATAACCAAATAAGCAGGAAATACATGAATAGCATAAAATTTATTGTTAAAAGGTTACTTTATCAATATTTAAATGTTATTTAATAACATATTTATAACACTAAATTTCTTATTAAATATTGGTGCATTTTCATTATTGTTTATGTAAGCTATTTTTAAGCAGAAATAAATTTAACTTTTAGTATTATTTATTTTTGGTATATAAATAATACCATTTTGATATTTTACATTTTTTTCTGAGATTAATATAAATTAATTTTAAAACTACCAATTGGACTTTTATTTCCATTCTAAAATATCTTCTAGTCATATCAGTTTTTCTCTCTGCAACTTAGATTTGTATGTGTTCTCTTTCCTTTGCTGAATAAATTTTCCTTCATTATGTGATCTCAGTCTAATGATATATTAATTATGAAAAGATAATGCATTTAACAATAAGTATAACTAAATTAGCACAGGTCACCAAAAGGCCTTTTGTCAAATCAGATTGTTGTTTTGTCCTTTTGACTTTTACCTTATGGTAGGCACTAACAAAATATCTGAACTCTGATGGATGATAAACTCTAAACATGATATGTATTTTTCATAATGCTAATGTAATTTTCAAGGCACCGAAAGGTCAAACCTGCACATCTCTGTGTGCATTCTAAGTCTGTCTTTTCCTTTAATATTTCTTTTTCTCTGTTTCTCTGGTTCAAAAGTTCACTCAGTTCCCAAATGGCTACCTAATTTTCCAGTTATTCCCTCAAGCCATATGTGTTTTGGTTTCTTTATGGTTTATTAGGTACTGTAGGAAAGTAGCATAAGTTATATCTTCTAATGAAATTCAAGCACACTTCAGTGATGCTTCGACTTGATTGCTGGTAGCAATTAAATCACAGCCAAGGAGGATAATGCATAATCTCACAAGGTCCAGACACCCTATAGAAATTGAAAGGGGATGGAAACAGAAAACAAAAACAAAGTCTCCCCACCCTGCCAGACATGTTGTTTCCAGCCTGCTTTTTTTTTTTTTTATTGGCCAACTGCCTGATTGATAGCAAAATCATAACTTGCTGCATGCTAACAGGCAGAGTTCACTTGTAGGTTATTGTGAGCTGATAAAGGGTTAGATGGAGTTTTGATTTTCGCATTGGACCTTGGTACACCAGATTAATGGAATTTCAATGAGAGACTAGAGTAGCCACAGCTTTGTCAGAGAAACAGATGGAGATTCTATAGTCATGTCTACTCATTAATACTAGTTGCCTGAAAGGTGTGCTGCTTCTCTATACAAAAGAGTTGATATAATTGATTTTTGAGCGGTGCATTGAAAAAAGTACCTTATTGATGACTAGAATCGTAACATAGATGGTGACAGATTTTTGTACAGCTACAAGCTTAAAAAAATCATATTTTGCAATTTTTTCTTCTCTCTCTTTGGACATGCTTTTTATTTAGATTTTTTTGAGAAAAAAAATGCATTTTAAAGACCAGTAGCAAAAAAATAAATGAGAAAACGACATGCTAAATTACCTTTTAAGAAAAAGAGGAAGAGTCTGTATTTTATTTATCAATGATGGCATAACTGCTGTTAGTTTCATTTTGATATGGTAATATTTATTTAAAAATCATACTTATTAGCAATGTCATTTTATTAGCTTTGTGCTTTATTTGTTCTAGAAAATTTAAAACAAATCACAATGTGTTCTATACTATTATAGATCACTGTTAGAAGTTTTATGCTATTGTGTGTTTGGATATATTGAAGTGTTAATATAAATGGCTCAAATCAGTAATCGGATAAAAATTAAAGATATGAAACTTAAAACCTTATCCCTTAGTGTATACATGTTAGAATGTGTGTTTGGGCACTAAGGTGGTAGATGCAGGGTAACCATTAGGTGCTACATAATAACTTGGGCATCCATTTTTTCTACTCTGAAAATTTTTCCCCCCATTCATTTTCATCATTTGTGAAAGAAAGCTTCTAACCACATAGCATTGTGGGAGGTCCCTGAGGTGAGGTGAACGGGTTTAGTGAGCTAGAAGACATATCTGCTCTGCCCGTCTATGATGGGTTGAAGGATCCCAGTGGACATTTGTTACAAATCTGATTCTGTGCTAGACCATAATCACTTTGTGGATAAGAATCTGGAACCTCTAGGGTGTGAATACAGCAAGGCTAAAATGAAGCTAAAGAGATAAAACAGTCATTTATTTAAAATTTTTTTTATTTGTATTGAATTTATTGGGGGTGATAAACAGTCATTTATTGCCCTGGTATCTTCCTAACTAAGAATTCCCAAGTAGTAACATAGGTTACTGGAAACTGTGCGCATTTCCAGGACATGGGTTTATATGAAAAAATATTGGTTTAGGAATGGAACTATTTTTTAAAGTTTGGAGTTTAAGAAAAAAAGTGTTTTGATCATAATTTATAAAAGTAAATAATGATTTTTTCCTTTGGGCATACTTTTCTTTAAGAAAACCCAGTGTATAGAAATCTTGATTTATAAAACATATAAATCACTTATTTCGAAGGAGTGCTTTAAAAAGAATTATCTCCAGGATGCCTATAAATAATGAACTCACTTAATGCCTCTAAAACAAATTTAGCTGTAAACCCATCCACACATAAATTTAATGTGTAAATTTTTGCACTTTATACATCAAGCTTTTGAGAAAGATTTTTCCCCCCATAAAATTAGGTGTAACACTAATCACTTCTTGTAAAAGCCAAACAATAGATATGCTTTACTTTTCTCTGGGTTCCAGCAGAATTTTAAACAATGTTTAAAACCAGGAAAAAAGGTTCTTTCAATAACTTATTATTTAGGGTGTCTTTCTACTATAGTATCATGTGGTTGTTGATAATTAAAATCATATATTTGTGTTTTATTCTGATAATTTAGATTAGTTTGCGATTTGCACATATCTTTATGTATATGGCATATATTACTGTTGCACTTGTTTTTAAAAAAATCTATTTTAGTTATTTCAATATACCAACTGCTAGCTTGTGTTATAGCAATATAAGAACAATGATTGCTTTAGCCCTTCTGTAATGTGTATAGCATAGCTTCAAGTACTTTGGTAAAAGTGAGGGGTTATAGTTTGGGGAAATGATAAAAGTAGAAGACATGTTTTTAACACTCAAGATATATGTTGTGTGATTGGAGGTATAAAGTACACAGATGTGAAAAGTGTTTATGATACAAAGGTATATATGAATAAATAAAAACACATAACCATTGAGAATCATCTTTCTAAGTTTTATGCCATTGAATTGGAAA